GGCCAGTGGTGCTGGTGGTTGTGTAACACATTTTGCAGCGGTCTGGCTTGGACTTGCGCATGCCAAACCATCCTCAGTGACCAAAGCTGGACTTACGCTGCTTTCTTTCTTTACTGCTTCCATCTTTCAATGACAAAATACCCATGTTACAACTCTCGTTCCCATTATAGCCATCCGAAGTGGTACCTTGAAGTTTGAATGCCGCCAAAGTTATACAATTTGTTGGTGAAAATGCTTTTGAACCGCCATCATGTGACATCATTACAAAGTCTTTAGCACACCTCACGAGACCCAATTTCAGCAAGCTCATAACGATTAAGTGCGTTTGGCCTATTTCCTCAGAATCTTTGACAGTATTTGCTGCGGGAACCAGATTTCTTATATTTTTTGACAAGCCCTTTAAATGCCAGCTCTTTATGTTGTACTGTGTACATCTATACCTGTAATGGGTAAATATAGTGTTCACATTCATAACTGGGTCTATGCCTCGTTGCCAACATTCCCAATTCCTGACATTGTATCCGTCCCGGTAATCACGCGGCAGGTGTGTTTTGGCCAGGTCCTGGTTTTCAATGGCATCCATTTATTTGAGTTTCCATGTACCACCGATCTTTATTTATCTTTCAAGACATGCTATGAGATTTGCCACGCAATAACCCTGATCCATTTTTTTTGTTGAAGGTGGACTGGAGCGAGTTGTACCACTTATAGGCCTGTGAGGACCAATGCGGGGGCCTTTTTGTGGTTGTTGATGAGTACATGCATCACAAAAACGCTTTCATGGTCCTAAATGCTCTCATTTTCCACACTCTGGCCTCTGCTTCCATTAGAAGCTACAAGCAGTTGGATGCCACAAACACTCGACACCGAGCGAGGCGGAAACAGAGACTGCCAACTTGGGCTGCATAATGAATACGATTTTTAATCGGGAACACAATTTTGGCTGTCCCGATTAAATTAACCTGACCATGAGCGATATTTACATTTAAAATGCAGACACTAATGCATATCAAATAAAAAAACCTGCTCAAAGAGGCTTCATTAATCTGCCTAAATAACACGTAAAATACAAGCTCTTGGTAACATTTTAATTTCGATTTTTTTTCAATCATTTCTTTTATCAACTAGGGCCAGGTCATAAGTCAATATCCACATGATTTGCACTAGACGTGATTAATATCAATGTAAAATGCCTTCGATAAATTGTTCGATCAGGCGACAAAAAAAGGCAGGAATTGACCTTGCCGTTTCACTACTTTTGGAGGGGATTGACTGTCTTGATTGTTTAAAAGTAGTACTTTTGCATACATGATGTGTAACTGCGATTAATAATCACACTTGCAATATTGATCAAAATAGTGATGATTATCATTTTGGCCACAAATGTGTCTTTGAAAGTCTTGTCCGGATGAATGTATTATTATAGTTTGGACTCTGGAATGAATTGTTCTAATTAACCTCAAGGGTAAAGTGAGTTTTTGGTCGCAGAGCAGATTGTGATGAAACTTGAAGGTACCACAGTCAATGGACTTTTTGTCCTACCTTGTCCCTGTACAAACCGCGGACGACATCCGACATTCGGTTCTCAAGCACAGGCTCTTCTTGAGTACTGATCACACAGCCGGGAAGAGGAGGGAAATTGGTGGCAGCCAAGTCAAATTTGGGAGGCGAAACCTTAACTTCAGCCAGCGGTACAGGCCTCTGCGGGAGGACAAGGACGTGCAGACAATCGCTTATCATCAGAACAAAGGCCTCCTTTGACTGTCCAATATTCAAGTGAGTGTACCATCATCCGTTCATCTTCTCGCCTTCTGCGTGTCCCTCTGTAAGTTGTGTTCCGTCTAAAACGCACACACTCAGTCAGGGGTCATGGCTGAATTCAGCACCCATGAAAAGCAGACCCACTAGACAATAATAAAAACAAAATAAAAAAAGAAGAGAGGGTTACCGTCCACGTCCAGCCATGTTATTGTCATCGTTTGGGTCCAAGGAGGAAGACGAGGAAGACAGATGTGAGAACATGGAGCTCAGGTCAGAAGCCGCCTGCGCCGTGTTAAGGGGGGCGTGCGGCTGTGGACTGCGGAGTCTCGTCAGACTCTCCAGGGGTACAGGGGCAATGGACGTTGGGGTCACCTCGTTCGCCCGCACGGGGGGCTTCACATGGTTTCTACGGCAGAGGAGCACGTCAGTCCGACACGTGGCACTTATTGCAGACATGGTCGGTTGCTAGCCAATTTGACACCAAGTCAAAGCTCTTGGTCGTTATGGTGCAAGGAGGATGGAATTTCATGGTATCTATCTACAGGTTGAACCAAGACAAATGCAAGACTTTGTAACAACTGAAAGGCCACGGCATTTCATACTTTGTGAGATGAAATCAGTATGAAACTTTTGTTACAGTGTCTGAAGCCAGCAAGTAAGAACATTCATCAATTCAAGTTCAAATGAAATGTGTCTCAAAAGTCACAATGCACGACCCTTCCCCATTCAGACAGACGTGAGGCCACGATCATTTGGCAGTTGTGGCTTGGCAGTTTTTGTCAGCATATCGTTCAAATTGCCATGGCTCAACAACTGAGATTCGAAGACACACTGCAAAAATTCTGCCAGGGTCAGTGTGTTGTCAAGCTTTCTTTACCTGTACCGACCTGAGATTGTTGAGCATCACCATCTACCACTTGAAGCCTTTCAAATCCCCTCAAGTCAGTACAGGTAAAATTATCTTCCTTCCGAAGCATCCATAGGATGGAGCTTTTGTTGATGCTGGGTTCCAGTGCAGCTCTGCGGATTAACTTTCCCTGGCTTGGCGCGAACGCCTGCTGCAGGAGTTTGGCATTTTCATCTGTGGTGGTAGGTAGCAGCAGGCCTGCTGCGGGGTTCACCAAGAACAGATTACGTTTGGAGAAACTTGCAATGCATACTGTAAATCGGACAATGCGTTTTGAGTGGCCTGACTGCTTTAAAATTTGGTCCACATCTCGACTTAAGCCCCGTTCACACGGCAACGTTTGGTCCGACGCAGCTCCGAAATAAATCCAGTCGAGCGTTCACACGTGCACATTTGCTCCGGCGTAGCTCCACTAAAGAGCTTATACCGGACCAAATTTGATCCACCTCAGGGAGGTGGTTTAAAAATTTGCTCCAGAGCAAATGCTCGTTTGCGACACTACGCCAAAACAAATGTGCACGTGTGAACGCAGCTGGATTAAATTTGCTCCAGAGCAAATGCTCGCTTGCGGGGGAGTGGCCTCGCTACGCTCGCTACCAGACGCACGGAATCCGACCCCGGTCGACAGTGACGAGGGGGCCAGCGACACAGACGAAGCCCGGCCGTGGACCCCCGTCCCCGGTAAAAGTGTCGGCGATTTAAGCGGTGAAGACAGCGCTCACGATCAAGATGAGAATCGAGAAAGCAGTGACGTCAGCCGAGCCCGATTTGCAGGCCCGAGCCCGAAGCAAACCCGACATTTCATATTTTATTTGTGAGTATTTTTGGGAGAAAAAAAACACAAGATTTCTTACGGTTAAAATAATCTACATATTTTTATGAACAT